GTTCACTAGGGAGCGAAGAGATTTTGTACCTTGTGCCTGTAAACAGACACTTCGTCTTGAGGACGTTAAGACTTAAACGGTTAGAGTCAAGCCATTGTTTCAGATTGCTCAGATCGTGGGTCAGGGATGAAAACAGCTCTTCAGGGTCATTGGAGGCAAACGTGAGATTAGTGTCATCGGCGTACATCCTCACATCTGACAGAAGGTCACAGTTGGGAAGGTCATTAATGTATAATAGAAATAGTAGGGGCCCGAGGATTGAACCTTGGGGCACCCCACAACGTATGCGACTAGTTTCAGAATTTACATTATTAATAACTATGACCTGAGTTCTGTCAGTGAGGTAGTCTCGAAAAAGGTTAAGGCTTACACCCCTAAACCCATACAACTCCAGCTTTGACAAAAGGATCTCATGGTCAATAGTGTCAAATGCCTTTTTTAAATCTATAAACAGAATGGCATTCGTCAAACGATTGTCGATGTTGAGATACCAATTGTCTGTGATATCAATGAGAGCCGTCAGAGTAGAGTGCATGGGTCTAAAGCCAGACTGATATTTAGAAAGTAGATTATTCTCATTTATATATGAGTATACCTGATTGAAAATTGCTTTTTCAAAGAGCTTAGCTATTACAGAAAGGACAGAAATAGGCCTGTAGTTTGCTGGATCAACCCTCGAGTCAGCTTTGTAAATTGGAGTTACTCTAGCACACTTCCAGTCGTTGGGAATGATTCCAGTGGAAAAAACTAAATTAAATATATGAGTCAAAGAAGATGCAATGAATGTAAACGATAACTTTAGGAGGGAAGTTGGGATCCCATCAAGTCCATCAGCCTTGGGCACAGGGATATCATTCACAAGTTTACACAGTTCATCAATAGTAAGTAATTTTAGCTCGAAGGTATTGTCACGAGATTCAACAAAATCACGAAAGCTGACCCGAGGGGGATTAATTGGAGACGCTAAGCTGAGGCCTATCCCGGTAAAATACCTGTTGAATGCGTTGCTGAGCTCATGGGGGTCAGTTATCACCGCTTCACCAATGATCAATTTTGTTACCTGAGCAAAGTTTTTCTTACGCGATAGTAGTGTATTAATTCCATTCTAAATTGCCTTTGCTTTCCCAACGTTATCCTCAAAGTAAGAATGATAGTAATCCTTCTTGGAAGCCTTAATAGAATGGTTGACTCGATTCTTAAGCCGCTGCTCATTTCGATTGATCATCAGTGATAGTGGCGATTCGCTTTATTCTATCTCTTTCCCGCATCAATCGCAAGATTTCAGGAGTGAGCCATGGAGCTTTAGTGTTTCTAACTCTCTTTTTCCTAACCGGTGCATGAAGGTTGGCCACTGTTAAGTTTGGCCACCGATCTATATATTTCTTGTATAGTTGATTTCTAAATTTACAAAGGGAAGAAGACCCCTTATAGATTCTCCTCCTTTCACTGACTAGCCCCGTTAAATCAAGGAGAAATGTATTTTCTTGTTGTTTCTTACCTTGGTAATAAGTCTTACAGCCACCATCTTCAATTGCGTCTGTCGGCTATCCTCTTTGAAAGAACCTGTTTTTTACACGAGCGACGTAGGACAGAGAAAACAATGAAGTCAAACCAACCTCGTTCCAAGGGCCTTTCCCTTAGCTAGGGGAAAATGCCCTGGGAACGAGGTTGAAGTCAAACGGATGTAGGGCTAGGAAGGATTAACAAACATAGGAAAACCATAATAGCTCTAAAACCGAAGTTTCCGCGACATTTGAAAGCCTGCAGATTTAGGTCCACTCACACAAGTTCAAAATAACCGTAAACGTGATGCACTGAAAAAAAATTGGATCACGTTAAATACATGTTATACCTGTATTTAAGTGACTTTGTTTTTATTGTACAAACTTAAATTTCAATGTCAATTGTTAGTTATTTCAATTACTAATCAGTTAGGTCTTGACAGTATGACAGAGGCACGTACGTATTTTGAACGGGCTCTATGAGCTCCTTGACGCTACGTGGGTAAATAAAGTATTGATTGATTGATTGATTGATGTTTACTGTAGGTGCTATCGACCGAGAGTCGGTCGATACCCGACCGTTACATCGGTCGACATCCTGTCGACACTCGGTTGATAGTCAGTCGACACAGTCGATGGTTGGCTAATACTCGGTCGAGAATCGGTCGATAGTCGGTTGATCGACCGACTATCGACCGGCTATTGACCGGCTATCGATCCAGTACCAACCGACTGTCGACCGAGTGTCGACCGACTATCGACCGCCTATTGACCGGCTATCGATCCAGTACCAACCGACTGTCGACCGAGTGTCGACCGACTATCGACCGCCTATTGAGGGTGCTATCGACCGAGAGTCGGTCGATACCCGACCGTTACATCGGTCGACATCCTGTCGACACTCGGTTGATAGTCAGTCGACACAGTCGATGGTTGGCTGATACTCGGTCGAGAATCGGTCGATAGTCGGTTGATCGACCGACTATCGACCGGCTATTGACCGGCTATCGATCCAGTACCAACCGACTGTCGACCGAGTGTCGACCGACTATCGACCGCCTATTGACCGGCTATCGATCCAGTATCAACCGACTGTCGACCGAGTGTCGACCGACATATCGGTCAAGTATCGACTGAATCTCGATCGATATATCGACCGATATATAATGAACCTTGAAATATTAATGAAACATGAATAAATTGTGACTCCTGATTGTGATTGTCCTCTTCATCTCGTTTGCAGCAACTTGGCGTGACCACTCTCAACTAAAATCACACACATCGCGCATAGTTTGGGGCGTGGGGGCTGGGGCTCGTTCATTGGTTGGTTCAGTTCACTGAATAGGACGAGTGATCGCTAAGCTGCCAGGCAGTGCACTATGAGTAAGCGAACCTAGGCGGAAGTGTCATGTGACTCTAATTTAGCATCTGCTTGTTACTACTGTTTCGGCGAATTTCTGAACCGTTTTTGTCAAAAGTCGGGCATTGTCTCTCGCTTCTGTATAGTCTGTGGTTTCTTGTGCCGAGGTAAGTCGTGTTTGATGCATACTAAGCTTAAGTAACAGTTGTTATTGATATTAAACGGCCGTAAAGCCTGCCGCTCGATGTCAGTAAGTTACGCACCATCTAAGCATTTCGACTATTAAGCGTCAAGATATCACACGAGATATGCTTTAACTGCGACAAAGAATCGCAATGGAAACACAATTGAAACCTGTGAACAATATTTGAAGTTTCCAGCGTCTTTGAATTGCTTTTATAGTCCTGTGATGAGGAGATAAAGCGAGTGATATTAGACCTTTTTATCTTCATACGTCATAGACTGGCCAGGTGGTCTGAAATGGGTTAACAACAGTCGCGGCTACAGTAAAGCGTAGGGGAATAAAGCGTAGGGGAATAAAGCATAGGGGAATAAAGCGTAGGGGAATAAAGCGTAGGGGAATAAAGCGTAGGGGAATAAAGCGTAGGGGAATAAAGCGTAGGGGAATAAATGTCTCTTTTCAAGTTAGAATTTGCACTCGATTCCCGGGTTGATACACGCACATGCGATAAACACCAAACCAAAATAGGATCTTTTCTTCCTTTGTTCCTTTCCTATTCTTTGAGGCGTTCTTATATATATCGAAGCGGTCAACTGAAATCATTACGTATACGCAAAGAAATTACCTTAGTATTGTGCGATCATAGCTAAAAGAACAATATCAATTTGGGCAACGAGCATGGGGCAATTAAAAAAAACAAAAAAAAGGAAAAAAACTAGCGATAGGTTTTGCTTTGAATCACAACTAGGAGTTAATATAATCACAAAATAAATTGTTGCCTCCCAACGTTCGCGGGTCTTAACTACCTTATGGAAGATTACGGTCTAACTTGTCTTCTAGTCAGTTTAGAAACGATCTTGATTACACGAGGTCTTATCCTGAACTGAAACGCTAACTATAATTTTCTGTCTAAAAGGAACTAATCACGGAGGCGTTTATGAAATTAAACCATAAAATATTTCGCAGCGTCTTTCGGAAGCGGTAACATTTAAAGATTTTAGAAAGATAATGCATGAGTGCATTTAAAGACTTTAGAAAGATAATGCATGAGTGCATTTTAAGACTTTAGAAATATAATGCATGAGTGCATTTAAAGACTTTAGAAAGATAATGCATGAGTGCATTT